GAAGATGTCCCTGCTCATGGCAGGGGTGTTGGAACCAGATGAGATTTAAGGTCCCTTCCAACCCAAACCATTCTATGGTTCTACGGCTCTATAGCTGTCCCCTTCCTTTAGTTTTTCAGGACTAAGAGAGACCGATGCCTGACAGACACCCTGATGCACCCCGGGTCATCACTGATCAGCACTGTCAGTGCTGTTTGACCACGAAGCACCAAGATGTGCAACCTTCCTGAGCTTGCGCACGGCAAAAACCAGGCGATTGACAGCTTGGAGAACACGCACCCGTGTATTTTAACTGCTGAATTAGCGCAATAGGAAGAAAGGTCATCTCTGGTCGTACCTCCTTGGCTACGAGTGAGGTTTGCACGAGACCCGTCTTTGATTCCTCGCTGTCAGGAGCCACAGAACGGGCTGACAGACTCTGCTGCAAATTATCAGCCAGTTTCTCACTGGGAAAATTGTTTTCACAAGGTCCAAGTGCAGCAAACGCAAGCAGCGTCAGGATTAACGGCTGAAACGCAGTCACCTGTTGCAAGCCAGCGCCTGGCCAGGCAAAGCACTACGAGGTCAAACCAAACCCACCAGCTGGAGCGGTCTGCTGTCAACCCAAACCGCAGCTACTGCCCACCCCGCATCCCGTCCTCTCCCCGACGTACCTGCTGACCGTCAGAGTTAGCTCATCTGTGCACCCCTTGATTTTGTTCTGCGCCTCGAGGTGCGTCATGTTCTCCGTGTTCTCTCCATCAATGGCTATGATCTGGTCTCCTATACACAGGTTGGCTACGGCGGCTTTGCTACCTGGAGTCACCTAAGAGAAAACAAGAAGAGTGAATGGACGTTCCAGGGAGGAGCTTTCCATAGCAACATGTGAAAAACGGTTGGAGCGCTCCGGGCTTCTCTCACTGGTACCTGGAAGCAAAGAGGTGAAAACTAACAGAAGTAAATTCTCAGCAGACATCTGTCCGGCTCTCTCAGATACTCCCCAGTATTAGTTAGGGGCAGGATTCCATTTTGGCACCCACAGATAGAAATCTGGGGAGGGGACAACAGCTGAGTAACAAAAGTTGTAATTTCACTCAAGGCAATTGGCTTTGTGCTAGAGAGCGAGAACACACAGAAAGCAACTCCGTCCTTCGCTGGGCACAGAAGTGCTCTCCGAAACAGAAGGTGATGAGGACCATGGGCAGGCTGAGCCTCTAAGAACAGAGGTGGCAGAAAAGAGTATTGGAGTCACTGCAACACAGTCAGCGCCCATCAAACACCTGCCTCTGCATCACGATCTCGTTTGCTTCCTTCCTTGGAAGAAAGCTCTGGGCTCAAGGTTTTGGGCTGCTTCTTTAGCTGCAATAAACTGGTTTTGCCCAGGAACAGCTGCAATGGATGCTCGCTGACACGGGCGAGATCAATCCCAAAGCAGTGGTTGACCCAACAAGCAGACTGAAGGGAGGAAGGCATCAGGAACTTCATCTTCGAGCCACAATCTGGTGATGCTTTCTGAAAAAGCAGAGCATCATCTCCAGCCTGACCACAGCTCACCTTGATTCACTCCGCCCTACGCATCTCCCTTGCCATATGCATCTCCCTTTCCTCTCCACGCACAGTGTTTTGCTTCCTAGACCCACCACTGTGCTGCTGAAGCTCAGGTGCTGTGCTCTGCCTGAGAAATGACCGATGGGAAGGAGCTCGTGGCGATCTCACCGCGATGCCAGCCAGAAGACACCGTGCATCACCACCACTGGTATGATACTCCTTATGAAAAAGAAGATCCGAGCTAAAACTTGGCATTTTCAAGCAAATCAACTCAACAGCTCATTCCTTTTTCCTTACTTCTGCTTGAGAGGTGTCCTCTTAACAACAAAGACCTCTTCAGGACAAAATTATTGCCTGGGCAGAGGGAGAAGAATGTCGCGTTTGCTTGCAGCTTTGCAAACACTACGTGCAATTTTAATCCTTATGCTCCTTCCACAAAGTCGCCACCGTGGGCTTTCATCAATTCTTCAACAGGCAGAGGAACTGAGAAGGGTGGACTTCTCCCAGACAGGAGTGCAGATCGAAACATGCCCTGCAGCTGAGACATACCTAATTTATGAGTCTGCTGCGACTGGTATTCACTCTAGGCATTCATGCTCGGTTTCAGCATGCTGGAAAGCAGCTGAGCAAACCCAGCAGAGCTGTCAGACAAACAAACGTCGTTCACAAGATTTAGAGAGTCGTCCTGATGTGGGGCTGGGTGGGAAACCGTTCCCCCCGGGGAAACGCTCACCTCCCAGAGGAGTCACACATCAGCTGCATCGCTGCTCTCCCCGGGCCAAAACCGAGGCTGCTCAGCACACCTCCTGGCAGCCGTGGTGGGAGATTTTCCCCAACCAGAAGGAAGATCACGAGATGCTTTTCTTTTTTTCACCTCTCTATTAGGACCATATTTCATGGAAAAGGGAAGGACACGCATGCGTATCGCAGATGTCCAGGTTGGCCAAGGTGCTCAACGTTAACCCGAAGACCTTCAGATGGGTCAACTGAAGAGTGCCCGTCTACCTGCTCACCACTTCTAATGCTGCAAGCAAACGACAAACTGGCAGAGGCAATGAAGAGACCAGACAAGCCACCGGACGGACACAGAAAATCTGCTTTAAAAGTGAAGATCCTTGCCTCCCAAGCTGCCACCCACGGCCTCCACCTGCCTGCAAACCCTGCGACAGGGACGGCCAGCGCCAGAAAGCAATCTCGAGCACTGAAAAGTCACCCGCGGTTCGACCAGATTTGGGAGCTGCCACTTTAGAAACCACGAGCCAGGTCCCTGAAGACATCATCACACTGGAGGGAGCCTGGAGGAGACACGTTGTGGGTCCTGCCCTGGTCGTGGGACCTTAGCTGAGTCACTCGGCTTCTTGGAGCCTTTACTTCCTCCGCTACCGAAGGAGGGAGAGGGGTGTGTTACCCTGCGAGGAGCACCAAGCTCGGCATGCTATGGCCGTGATTTGATCAGGTGAGACCGCCAAGGGGTCAAGAATAGCAGTGGATTCCCACGGCCGCTGGAATGCTACTGGAGGCTCGGTGGCACAGCCTGCCTCGACAGACCGACATCTATGCGATGCGTGGCAGGCTGCTGGGAACGATCCTGCTGCACGAGGAGCTGCCGAGCTGGAGCGGGCAGTGATGCTGAAACACTGAAGCCTCCTGAAGAAACCCCGAGAGCTGCCGGGATGAGTGAGTGGCAGTGACAGCGACATCCCAGAGCTCTGCCAGTGCTCGTGGTGCCACGTTCCCCTTCCGTGCCCAAAATGCGAGAGCTCTTCTCCATCAGACAAGAGCCACTGGCACCACAACAGTGACTACACCCACCCAGGCACCACATGAACCTCCTCCCTACGGGGAAGCTACGTGGATGCACAGTCACGGAAAAGATAAGAGAACATGCCAGAAGGAAACGCGTCTTCAGACCCAGCTTCTTTGGTCCTGGAAACCACCTGCCCTGAAATGCAGCCTTCCAACAACCGCTCCCCTGCAACACCCAGCTCCCTGCCAGCAAACATGTCCGCGCAAGGGCATGGTGCTGCGGGGAACCCATCTCCCCGCATTCTAGGATGATTAACAGCCACTAATTAATGCTCCCTTCCCCCCTCGCAGCAAGGCCTGGGCTTATCTCAGAATCACAGCATGGAGGGGTTGGAAGGGACCTCTGGGGTCACCCAGCCCAACCCCTGCTGCCCAAGCAGGGTCCGCCAGAGCAGGCTGCACAGCACCGCGTCCAGGCGGGTCTTGAATATCTCCAGAGAAGGAGACTCCACAACCTCCCTGGGCAGCCTGGGCCAGGGCTCCGTCACCCTCAGAGGGAAGAAGTTCTTCCTCATGTTCAGCTGGAACTTCCTCTGCTTCAGTTTGTGCCCATTGCACCTTGTCCTGCCGCTGGGCACCACTGGAAAGAGTCTGGCCCCGTCCTCCTGACACCCACCCTGCAGATATTTATGGGCATTTCTAAGGTCCCCTCTCAGCCTTCTCTTCTTCAGGCTGAACAAGCCCAGCTCCCTCAGCCTTTCCGTAGGAGAGGATGCACAACCAGCGGCCAAGCAGTCACTCAGCCCCACAGCTGGCTTTGCAATAGGCCCCCCATAAAGACCAAAAAAACGAGAAAAAGAGTAGAAAGATTTCCTACAAGACCTCAAAAACACTGTGGAGAGCTGCACATCAGCTGAGCCCTTCCGGATGGTTCATGTCATCCTCTAAATAAAACAACATGTCCAGTAATCAGCAACCATCTAAGATACTGTGTCACCGGCCAGAACAACATCAATTGTTTATGCAGTTAAGCCCTACTTTAATTTCCCTGTTTACAATGAAAAATAAACCCCAACAAATCCATTTGCTGCAGTTATTTTGATATTGCACCCTTCAGTCTCAAAACATCTTACAAGCCAAATGCATCTCTCGATGGGCAAAGGAGGGTGAAAGGGACCAGGCAGTTTGCAAACACACATAGCTTGACACCTGGGAACAAAAAGGACTCTCCTTCTCCCAAGAAGTCCAACATTTACCTTTGCCAATTCAAGGTCTGGGGTTTCAAGCTCTCACGCAGGATTTGGGCTGGTACATCACCCCCTGACGCGGAGACCTCTCCTTAGGTTCTTTGGAGAGCTCAGCAAGAACAAGGTGGGCCAGATGCAGACCACCAAATGATGCCGGGCTCCAAGAAGAGGGGCAGAGCAAAGGCTGCTCCAAAGCCTGGTGACACCAAGCAACAGCCCCGGCTCCTGAGTGAGGAAAGGGTGCTGCTCCGGTACGTCATTCTGGTCGAAGGTGGTCAGTTAGTATCCTAATTCTTTTAAATGTTTTCCTTAAGATAAAGCTGCCCCGAGAAGACGTTGGTGCAGGGAACGTAAAGCCACGCTCACCTCTGACCAACCCCAGCAGCCTTCAATCATGGAATCATAGGTTGGAGAAGGTGTCTAAGATCACCAAGTCCAACCATCACCCCAACCCCACCACGCCTGCTAAACCATGTCCCGAAGAGCCACATCTACACGGGTTTTGAACCCCTCCAGGGACGGGGACTCCACCACCTCCCCGGGCAGCCTGACCGCTTCCCCGGCTGGCTCCCTGCCCCAAGCCAGCCTCCGAACGAGAGCCCAGCATAACCCCGGTGCATCTGCAGGGGCAAAGCCAGCCCAACCCTAAGGCCTACCGCATCCGCCATGCCCTGCATTTCCTTCAGCAGAGGGAAGGCGTTCCACCCCTCCAGCCGCAGAGACCTCCCCGTCCAGCCCCAGCTCTCCCTGTGACTGCAGGTAATTTTTCATTCTTTCCACCCAGGGATGACGCCCTGCCCGGCTCCCAGTGCAGGCACCCGTGCCACACGGCTCAGCCCTGCAGAGATGCCCATCTGTAAGGTGTCCCCTGCCCCAGGGGACTCCTCCACCGCTGGCTCCGGACACCTTCGCTCGGCTGAGAGCCGGGGTGAGGACATCAGCCAGTGCCAAAGTCAAATCCGACGTCTTCTCACACCGTGGCACTCAGTCCCGTGCCCAATTTTGGACCATTAAGTCCAGTTTGATCACTAAATCAAGTTTTAAGTTAGCGGAACTGGCTCGGGAGGCCACGCTTAGAAACAAACCGAACCCTCCAGACCCAGGGAACACCTGATCATCTCCCAGCTCTGTACTCACTACAAATCCTGAGCTTTTGAAACACCATGAATAGAGCAAACAGACTAAACGGGGAAGAATCCACATTACCGTGGCTGAAATCAGCAGCAGACACAATGCTGAGACTTCACCTTTTTAATATATTCGCAGCACCGGACTGTCT